GGGCTTGTACTCATTTTGTTAGTAGCTCTGTACTAGTGACTTCCAGGTTCTGGGAGGGATCTTTATTTGTATGTATGTTTTGGTTTGCTTCCGCCTGTTTATATTGTTATTTGCCTACTCTTGTTTAGTTTCTACCCTCAGACCCATTACTTGTTGTTCCGGGTTACGGGTTGGCTTACCTACTGGTGGGTTATAGTAGGTGCCATCATGACTTGAGAAATCGGGTCGTGACAAAAACATTCCTATACTTGATAAACTAAGCTTAAATACACCCTCCCATGCCACATGGCACAACAAGTAATTACACTCTCTTTAAAAGTGTGAAAAGTTTTTTAAAAAAATGTCACATCAATTTTTTTAAAAATTTTTCCTTCAATGTTTATTTACCAACCGTTACAATACCCTTTTTCTTCCCATTTAACTTCTCCTCCATTAAAATTGAACCCAAAACAAGATTCAAAAAAAATTCCACTCTTTTTTAATTGCTTAATTTCATATGCTATAATATTCTCTCTTCCTATTGTGTTCATGACCCGCCATTAACTGTTTTTTCAGTTACTATAGTCAATTACTTTATTTATTATAGGCTAAATGGTCTGGTGGACCCTTGTATTTGTACTCGTTTGTATTGTGAACCCATCTACTTATCCCTTTGTCATCTGAACCCCCGAATTCATTTAAACTCAACATGTTGAACCCTTTCAACTAATCGTGACTCTCAATCGCGCTGATGTCACATTCCATGTAAGATAAATTTTGCCACATCATTTTTATTTTTATAATAATTTCTTTTTGGACAATTATTAAATAAAAGGTAAATTAATAAATTTTAAATTGATTATTTAAGAAAAAACTTGGGGAATCCACGCCTCCACTCCGGTTGCAACCGCGTAACATCCAAAATCCACCGGCGATGTCGCCGCTCCTCTCGCCGGCGAGACCTGTACCTTCTCCTTCATCGTCTCCATCTCCATCGCAAACCCTCACTATTTTCTTTCCTCCTTCTCCAACCACCACAAAATAAGCAACCCTAAGCCGCTACACCACCGGTGACCTCCCTGCGAATCATCAACGACAACCTCTCCTCTCCGTGCTGTTCATCTATCAACAAACACCCTCGTCGCCTCCCGTTCTAGCGAAAAGGTATCAGTGTTGCCTTTCTCTCTCTCACTCCACTGCAAAATCAATGGACTCCAGCGAGCATTGCCATAAAATCAACCAATGCCCTCTCTCCCTCCACTGATAACAGCTTGAAACTTGACGTCAAGGAGGTCCCAACGCCAAATATCCGTTAAAGATCAAGATGACCATAGGTGTGGAGAAGAAAGAAAAAGTAGTTGGGGGCAGGGATGGGGATGGCAGCGAAAAAGTGGGTGGAGTTGAGGGAAGAAGAGGGATCTTTTTTAATTTATTATTATTATTATTATTATTATTTTAATATCTTAAGTTTAAATATGATGTTCACTTGCGTTCAGATGCGTGTAGTCACACTCTCTCGCCAACTCAGCCATCTTAATGCCACATAAGCTTGGTCAATGGTCAGAGGGATTTGATATATTGTGTTTTATTGAGTTTAAGGGCTCAATTGGTAAATGATTAAGTAGAAGGGTCAATAATACAAACTCGGACAAATATAGGGGTCCATTAGACCATTTCGCCTTTATTATTTTTCAGTACTTCTTTAGTTTTTTTTTTTAAATTTCCCACCCGATGTCCGGTACCTACATTAGAGCCCGACTAAATCTAAATTCGCGTCGAAAAATCCCACATTGGGGGATAAAGCTCTCCCCAACAAAGGTGACTTCATAGCCAAGGAGGTTTTCTTTAGTTGTGTACACTATGAATTTAACCTTTATTTTCTCTTAATTATTAAATACAGAAATACACTAAGTAAGTACTGTCTTTGTCTTCAAACTTCTTAATGAAAGGGTGACTATGAAATTCATATTGCTGTAATGTGGCGAGTTGCACATTAACAGACATCAACTAAAAACGAAAACACATGAAAAATGAAGAAGCAAGTATGATGGCGGGTCATGAACACAATAGGAAGAGAAAGAATATTATAGCATGTGAAATTAAGCAATTAAAAAAGAGTGAAAATTTTCTTCAATCTTGTTTTGAGGTCAGTTTTAATGGAGGAGAAGTTAAATAGGAAGAAGGGTATTGTAATTGTTGGTAACTAAAAAAAATTGAAAAAAAAATCTGATGTGACGTTTTTTTTTAAACTTTTCACCCTCTTAAAGAGAGTGTAATCAGTTGTTGTGCCATGTGACACAGAAGGGGTGTATTTAAGCTTAGTTCGTCAAGTATAAGGGTGTTTTTAAGCCTATCAATAGTTCGGAGGTGAAACCAATAATTCGCACAAAGTTTGGGGATGTTTTTAATACTTCTCTCATACATGAATATATATTAAAAACTCTAATAAAGAAGACATTTATAGTGGGAGGTACATATACCTCAAAATAAATTTCTATTAAAATGATTTTAAGCTGCTACAAATTTATACATTAAGTAATTGGAAGTTATGAATATGAAAAGTTTAAGGTGATGAATATTTATTAAAGAACTATCCGTTAAGGATATGATTTTATAAAATAAAATAATTGAAGAAATTAAAAAAAAAAAAGGAGAAAAAATATCTCTCACACACACACATATATTGATTGATTGTAAATAAATAAATAAACAATAAAGATAAAAATACTTAATTTTTTTAAAAAAAAAGTATTGTCATTTTATAATTAGAAGAATGTCACGACCCAAAACGAGTCATGAGTGACACTCACACTTAACCTCCTAGGTGGGCGAACCAACGAATTCAAACCTCAACTTATATTCATTATTCAACTAATGAAATACGGAAATAATACAAAAGCTCAAACCTTATTAAAGTAAATAATAAAAAAAACCTCTAGAGTCTATTACATATTATTCTCAAAATCTAAAAGTCATCACATCATGGACATCTACTCTCAAAATACCAAGTTTAAGAGTGTTAAAGACACCAAAATAAATAAATAGAATAGTCTATGTTCGAAATCTAAGGACATCATGCCATAACCAAGAGAATCCAACACGAGCTAGAAGGAATAGCTCACCCTGAAATCTCATGTGCTGGGGACTGGCTAGAGTTGAGGCCGAGTCGAAGTCGATTGTACACTTGCTACACACCACAAAAAGAAAATGAAAAAAACACAAGTAGGGGTCAGTACATGACAACATGTGTTGAGTAGATATTACCGACCAAATCAAAATAGAAACTACTATGGAATAAGTAATAGTATAAAATTAACTATGACACTTAGCAGGTGGAAAGCAACAAACAACATGAACACGTGACAACAGTAATAAAGCCAATACATAATCAATCAACAATATCAAGAACGCACATGAGGACTCATGCATCTGCACCACACTCTTTTGGGATATGTATTCTTTGAGATTGAATACATTAAGTTGTTTTAATATGTATTCCCTTAATGTTCCCGTGCCAGAATGTGACACCTGATCCAACAATATCGCGTCGGAACGTGATACCGATCCAATAATATCGTGCCGGTTCATGGCACCCGATCTAAATATATTGTGCCGGTTTGTGGCACCCGATCCAACAACATAGTTAATTTCTCATTCTTTACCATCATTTTCCACTTTCATCAAGCCTTTTTTATTCAAGGCATCACTTTAATAGAACAAGTTCAAGATTATGGATTTCTCAGTCTTGGGATTACAGACCAATCACAACAACACATGAGTTATCTAAATCACAAAAACCGGTTAAGTACATAGAAAATTATACTGTATCACTCAATGACTATCCATCACTATCAAGAGTCTCTCTATCACATAAAATAAATAATAAGCTACCTCCACCGAAGAACATAAGTCAAGAAAGGTAGTTTTCCAATATTTTTCCTTTCCTCAATGCCTCAGAACGTTTCCAATCTATCAAGTATACAATATTCATAAGAAAACGAGTCCGTAGACACCCATATTACTATATAATCTATCCTGGACTCAATAACTCATTCCAATCTATAGTCAATTTGCTAAAGTTCAAGTCTAAGGGTAAGTCTCAGTACCACCAATTATCATAAGTTTAATGGAATTCATATAATACAATACATCTAATAATTAATTATCTATACCAATATATCAAAACTTGAATCATAATGTGATTATTAATGAAAAATAACCTAAGATTGACGTAAATTAACTATGAACCTGTAGCGTTAACCACAAAACTCACCTTCGCCTAATTACAGTTGCACTATTATTCTACTCCATTCATCACATCATGATTGTCTAATAATTATCCCCTAAATCACTTGGTCATGATTTATCCCTAAATTGACACATGAAACATAAGTGACCACCACGTGTGTTTCCACATCAACTTGAACAACAATTTACTTTGATTCCTCACCCATAATATACTACTCTTTTCTTCTAAGAACAATGCAAAATTCATGTACCTAGTAATCTACATTACATACTTGAAGGATTGAAGGTTTTGAAGCTCTCCCTGAAAGCGCATCCACTTCTGGGTCGACGCGATAGACAAGTTTCCCTCACCTAGTCTTTTAATTCTTTAGGGTAAATAATTATGAAGTAATAAATAAATAAACTTTGAATCCCACTAATTTCTTCCTACACATGGTTCATGTGGCAAGAGAGTTAAATAAATTATGGACTTAAATCATTAACTATAAATTAATAAAATATAATTATTTAATAAATATCCGTCAACTAAATAACCATAGTTAAATGAATTGTTCAATATTACCATTTAAATTCTTACGGAAAGAGTCAAAATATTTTTTTATGAAAGAAATAGGTCTAGTTTTCAAAACAACCTAATGGGTCATTACACTAGATACCAATTTATCCAATGTTCGTCCCGGAACGGTCAAAGGAAAATTAGCAATGGTAAGAAAGGGTACTTGACTCAGCGAAAAGATATGGATATCTTTTGTGCATATCATCCTTAGTTTCCTAAGTGGACTTCTCAGCAGGATGATTCTTCCACTGGACCTTCTTAGATGCAATCTCCTTTGACCTCAAGTTGCAAACTTCTCTATCGAGGATAGCTACAGGCTTCTCTTTATAAGACAAATTCTCATCAAGCAGGAACGAATCCCAACAAATAATGTAGTTTCCATCACCATGATATTTCTTCAGCATAGAGACATGAAATATCGGATTACTCCAAAAAAACTCTAGAGGCAAAGCCAATTCATAGGCCACCTCTGTCACACGTTTAAGAACTTTAAACGGTCCAATATACCTCGGACGACCTCTTACCACACCCTTCATGGGTGAAACCTTCAACAACTCTTGCTCTCCCTCCATAAATTCCAAGTCTCTGACCTTCCGATCTGCATACTCCTTTTACTTGCTTTGGGCTGAATGAATTTTACCTTCTCTAATGATTTCCTCAAAAGATCAATACCCCAAGGTCTCACCTTGAATCCATCAAACCAACCAATTGAAGACCCACACCTCCTCTAATACAATGTCTCAAATGGGGCCATTTGAATATTCGAATGATAACTATTGTTACATGTAAACTCAACTAACAACAGAAACTATTCTCAATAACTACCAAAGTTAATCGTACACACGTTTGCAACATGTTCTCAAGGACCTTAACACAATTATCAGGATTGATCTTTTATTGCATAACCATGATAAAATTCTAAATCAATACTGGCTACAATCAGAAGTGAACCTAAACCAACCACTACACACTCATAATACACAAACCATCATAGATTTTATCAATATTTCCTTCAACATGAACTTTTCATGAGCTTAAGTTATAAAACTTAATCTTTAGATATCAGGTACTCATCAAGGGAAAATCAAACTTATCTAACGCAAAGAAGGAAATGATCAAGTAACCATCCATCGAGCGATACATCCAAGCATACAAAACCTCTAACAACACTGTCAAAATGCTAGATTAGTAGTTGTGATTGTAGACAACCCTTAAGAACGAAAAACTAGACCCAATGGTCCCCACATTCAACCACAGATAATTGGAACATGACCTAAACGACTAGATGAATATTTAGATTATCGGACAACTGTAAATGCCCATTGTAGCTCTTCTAAAAATTATCATAAGTAAAATGGTACATGTAGAACCACTAGAATACTTCAACAGCTCCAAGACAACACCAACTATGTCATCTAAAATAACTAAGTGTGCCCAAGCATCCTACCCATTCAAGAGAATATCACAGGATCTGTACACCCGATCCACCACTAAAAATCCACCAATAAAAGTGAAAACATGCATGGACATATCTAGTGAATCATACTTCAAATCATGTACATAACGAAATAGGTGGTCACATAAGAATGTACCAAACCAATGTTGAATAACACTAAATGGTTCCTCTAAAGATCTCATATCAAACATTTTCATTTGGTTGACTCCATTTCTTTGATTTTTAGCTACCCACAATCCACCAATCTGGTCGCCATTACGATCGTACATGTACTCTATTTATTAGACTCCACATACTCTTCACATCATTCCACTAAAGCTCACACTCTCAATACTAATAAATATCATAACCACTCTGATCATTTACCTTACTCTCAAACTGTCTATAGTATCAAAGTTTTCTTAGTGCACACATTGTCACCTCCAATTTCTAAACAATGGCTCCATCTCTTTTTCTGTAAGCATTCATGACAATTACGAGTCTCACTCAAGTCTAGTAGTACTAATTTCAAATATGATAATACTTTCCCATCGAGATAAAGCTATTGAATCACACCCGACGTCAATTTCACGCAATCTTGCGCATATCAAGTTTCAACTACCATTCAATCATCATATAACTCATGTCATAACTTAGAGAGATTTTTTTTGGTCACCCCAATAATTTTGTAAAATATCAGCACATAACCTTTATTTGTCATCAAATGTCTATGTAACACATCAAAACAGTCTGAGTAGTTTCACCAATAGAGTAGTTCATTCTCCGAGAAACAATCCTCAATAAATATGTACAACTGTAGGTCCATATTGTAGCGCTGAATAACGTTTCAAGGACATTTCATCCAATTCTAAGTGTCAATGATCGCTAGTCAGTATATAACCCAACTAAATGAGTTGGGGTCGAATCCCATAGGGAGTGGTACGTGTTTAAGATTCAATAGGAAAATACGAATATGATCAAGTCAGTCATAGGAATATACATTTACGAATAAAAACTTAATTCAAATTAGGGGGTGACACGAATGTCAAATAAGGGGGTTTTGGTTTGAAATTATCAACTATTATAGCAGCAAACAACACAAAAATGACAATAATGAGACGGGTTCCTTGGATGTGATTCAATTATAGGATAATGTAGACAAATGGGTAATTTCAACTGTTAGGAAATAGTTGTATAGTAGTGAATAAGCTAGACTATAGAGGAGGTAAATTTACCTCGAATCAAGTTGATTTCTCTCGAACATCAACAAGTATGCAAATAAAAATAGCCTATGCGTTAGTCCATTCACTCTCTCGAGCTGAATATATGGAAAAGGGTTTAGGATTCACTCTCTCGAGCTAAATCCATGACAACCCAATACCCACTGACCATCAATCAATAATCTTAGTTATAAAGCTCTCTCTCGAGCAAGCCAAAAACACAAGGGTAGAACTGCATTTGCAACGACAATTCTTAAATTGAACCACAATTAATGATTGAAATCACTTCTAAACATCATTTAAACTAACAATTAGCAATACCCATAAATTAAATCAGCCCATAATTAATCACATAATCATTTGTCTTTACAAAGGTCCAAATAGAAGAATCTTAAAGACCCACTTCCAATTTTTTAAAAGTGAAAAACTTCAATTCTTCAAAGCTAAGGAAAACTTGTCTCAATACTAAGAATTCGATATCATGAAAGTATGATACTTGCTAATTGATAAAAAGATCCTAAACTAAATGTTCAAAAATGTATTTATAGTCACCAAAAATGTGTTGCGAAGAGTCCTTCGGCGAAGTAAGTCGGGCTCGTTGATCAACTCGGCGATCCGCCATTTGGTCAATTTCATCGCCTTTTTGCCTTGGCCTTCAACATCCTCAAGGTCTATAACTTTGGGTGATCCAATACTGCATCGCGGAACCACTCAGCGATCCGCCGACTGCTCCTTTCTCTCGCCAACTTGGTTCTTTCCTTCGGGGCTTTGCACACTGGAACTTTAAGCGGTCAAATGGCCACTCGGCGACTCGCCAAATGGACTTGGCGATCACTAAGTTCTCTTTTCTTCCTTCTTTCAGTTCGCTTTGTTCCTTTTTGCAACTTAGTGTCCTTGCTTTGCTCCTTAATCCATAATCCTGAAAATCAAGGATTTTACATCAGTTATTGGCACAAAATGAACATTTGAGGACACTAACCCTATACAAATAAAGCCCTAAATGAGTCCAAATCTCGGACTCATCAACACCCCCAACTTAAACTTTTGGTTGTCCTCAAGTAAAACTCAAGTTCAGCAGTTCAAAAAGGATGTCTCAAACAGTGCTACACAAGACTCAATCATGAATGCACACAACAAGACTCAACTTACTTATGCAAGGATCAATTGTGCACTCAAAGATTCAAGTTGTGACTCACCATTATCAAAGATTCTCAAGTTTACAATACTTGCTTCAAATCAAGTTCAAGCTCAACAAAGGTACTCAAATTCCCTCACACAAAGAATGATTACATATTAACACACAATGGTTCAACACTTTATAGTTCCGGAATCACATACAACTCTCACACTCAAAAAGATGAACACATGCATGACTTCACCCATAGGTTTACCCATATTTTCCAACCAACATTTGTTTCAGCTCACTCAAGATAAAAAAGGTCTTTTCAAGGCTTGTAGCGGGGCTGAGTGTAAAGGTATGGTCATTTAGGCTCAGTGGCTACTATCCTCATGAAATGTGGTATGAACATCACTTCCCTTTCTTTTCTTCATCATTTTCATTCATGCTCAAAATTTACCCCATTATTCAATTCTCATGGACTACCAGACACCCCATTTCTTTTGCAACTTTTACAACTTTATTTCACAAGTTTTTCGTTGTTTTTCTTTTTCCTTCTTCTTTTCTTTTTCCCTCTTTTTTTGTATGGAGGGGTTCCATCTTTCTCAAACCATGGGTCAAGGGGACTTCTTTGCACTTCTTGATTTACCTTCTCTTTTCACCACACCCCCAACTTAGGATTTTGGCCTAAGTTGGCTATTCAAACAAACCACAAATCATGAGGATTATGGGTGAATGGATAAAGAAAGGTCAAAATTGCATCAAGTTTCTTCCAAGAAAAGGGTAAGGTTCAAAGGGTGTTCAAGAAAAGTCCACACACTCAGAAGGTTGGCCACAAAAGAGGTATAATGTCAAATTGTTTCACTCTTCAAAATTGTTGCCTAAGATCATTTCAAGAGCTTGCATCACTTAGTCAACTGGACCAACGGGGCAATTCTAGGTGTCATCACACGTGGTTCACGGTAAACTCATTACACAAGGCATTGGTACCAATATCAAACAAGACTCCACATTTTCGCTAGTGTGCAATGTTCATCACAAGAGACTCAATTTGATAACCGGCTAGTCACAACGAGATGCAAAAAGTTCACATATTATCTATGCAACTTCATTTGGCCTCATCGTAGCCGCACATTCATCTTCATTCGATTGAGAGCACTATTCAAGTCATCGATATTGATCATGACCGATACTCAAATTTGCACAAGAACAACCACAATTAAATTCACAAGAGATGGCAATTTTTTTTAGAAGGGTCCAAAATCCATTTACATTCAAAATTAGGATCTGCAAGCTCAAACATCCACAACATAGTGTCAAAACACAATTTACACACAAAAACCCAATATATAGACAAAAACAATAATCACAAGAGGTAGGTATGGAAATACATCACCCCACCACAAACAAAAAAATAATTTGTCCTCAAATGCAATAAAGTACTAAAAATCAATAAAAGTGACAGAGAGGAAGGTAAAGAGAAGTCATGTCTACACAGTCGCTCCATCTGTCAGGGCATCAGTGCCCAGTGTAATACTCTGAACTTGGGCATCAGTGCCCAGAGTCACATCAACAACACTCGATCCACTAGGGCCTACCATTGATGTCTCTTTCAGTGATGTCTGAATCACTGATTGTACAATCGTCTCCTCAAGGTCAGGCAGGTCTCCATAGATAGTCTCATTCGGCGTCTCTATTTGCTCCTCATCGGTCTTTGCCTCCGATTCAGCAGCAACTACCTCCTCAGTGTGAACCTCATCTCCAGTGGTAGCCGAAGGCATATCTAGATCAACTGGCACA